GCGGCCCTGTGTTCAAACTCAAACGGGCTTTTTTTTCAAAAACACCGGCACCCTGAGGGGAAAAAACATGAATGTCAGTAAGGTTAAGCTATCAAAATGTTTCCCTGTTCAAAAATTTACGCCGGTCAATAATTTTTTAATCAAAAATAAATAAGCAGCAAAGAAGTAATATATTTGGTAAAAGATTAATACCGGTTAAAAGTGGATGATCTAGTGTAATTCATTTATTTTATATCTACTTCATATGCGCGCGCGCGTGTGTGTGTGTGTGTATGTGTGTGAAATTAAAGTTTTAAATTATTATTTTATCTGTTGTTTATTACAAAAATTTAGTCGAGAAAAAAATTGTTTTACTTCTTAATTTTGCTATCTGGTATATTAGAAAATGAATCGCCATGTGAGAGTCATCTTGTCTTTGTACAATCAACCTTATGACTAAGCTCTACTTTCACTCATGTTACGAAATAAAGTCAAATTTACCAAAGCCCAGCCCTTTAGGAAAAGATGCAAGCTGGAGAAAGTTTCTCATTCCTGAGTTATCCGGGTACTCGATTTTAAAACTGATCAGGACAGCAAATAAGAATAAATATTATTGTTTTATCTTGGAAAAAAAAGTATCTTCGATGAGGTCAAAACAGAACGACAATTCTCTAATCTTTTGCCTAGCTTTCCAAGTTGTTCAACAGCAGGTCGATACATCATCCCATCTTTAATTATTGTTTTATGTTGTGAACTACTAAAAACTTCGTATGTTCTGGGCGTTAAATTTGATCAGGCTTTAGTCAGCCTGGATTTTGGACCGTCTATTTCAAATATTGTGTTTATATTTTGACTTTCACCCACAGTGTTTGAGAAAAAAAATATCTAAGAACAAAACGGCGACCATCGGCGGACCTATAGAACAGAAAAGATAAATTACCATCAGAATCAAGATTCTTTGAATTATTCTTGGATCCAATAGATTCTGCCTTTTTTTATTTTGGATGAGAATATTCAATAAAATTCTTTTTTTTATTGTTTCAAATGAAATTAAAAAAAAATTAAATGAGAGGAAAATAAATAAAGCAATTCTTGTACATGCAACCGCAGTCTCCAGTACCTATTTTCTTATTATTTTTGTTCTTATTATTATTTCTATAACGGCAAAATAACACACAGGCCAACTACTCAAGATGTCGATATCTTGAAACACCCCTGTCAGACAAAAATCAGATTAAACCAAGAAATAAACAAGCTTTTTGTTTAAAATTTCTAAAAGTGGGCTTTACTCTCCCCCATCAAAAAAGTTAAGTTGTACCAAGCTATGATTCACCCAAATCCCTTTTTTCTCTTTTATGGACTTGCAAAAACAATGACCATTATGCATCCAAGCGATTAAGTAAATAAGGTAACAAACGACGCTTGGCAAAAATATGTCATGGAGCTTACCTACCTACTATTTTATTTACGCTACTGCTGGTGCCACATGCCACCAGAGTAACTTATTCAGGGAGTTTCTTTACCTTTTTAAAAGGCCTAGGAGGTCATTAGTGATGCTATTTTTCCTTCGTCCTTTCTAGTTTGTCTATCGAAGATAACGACTGAGCCATATTCTTCCTCCTCAAGCCTACAGAAAAGATCAATTTTATCAATACCTGCTTATATTATTTTAATTTTAGGTGACAGCACCTTATCAAAAACCTGACCGTAGTGTAATACAGATAGATCTTTATTTTATTTTATTTTTTTTAACGCCTGGCTTTTGGATTTTACGAGTCCATTTATATTTATGCTGACTTCTTTTGTCCAAGACGATTGATTGATAATGCAAAGTTATTGAGATTAAAATAATGCTTCTAGCAGTAGATTCTTTTCCCTGACAGTATTCAGATTGGTTCATTTCGTTAGATTTATATTATCACTAGTGTTTTTCATTTCTTGTTGCCCAGTTTGTTATCACTTGTTGCTTGGTATTTTCCGATTATATAGTCCTACCTAACCTCGCTGTTTTAGTATGTCAATATGTTCCAGTGACTGTTCTGACAAAAGTAAAATGCGACAGACTAAAATGCGAGTGTAGGCAGGACAAATAGATCGGGAAAAGAGCAATATACCCATATACTGTTTACCAACCCACTGACCTCATGAGGAAATCTCACGCCTACATGTTTTATTGAATTATGCTCAGTTACTGTGCCGGTAACTTAGGGTAATTTATGCATTCTTCCTTTAGTTTTGCATTTATTTATAATTCAATGCTTTCAGTATCTGTAGTTTGGTAGTTGTCGATCATTTTGTCCTTCCTATCTATAGCTATTCAACGATTGTACTGTAATGATGGCGAAAGTCTTGTTCATTATCCCCCTGTCTCCAGAGGATATATCAGGCTTACATATTTTATTGATTGATCCTTTTTTACCGTGTTACGGCACCCAAGTAGTTTAGCACAATATTTGCATTTTTTCATTAGTTATGTGTTTATTTATAATTCAAGGCTAGCAGCACAACGTGACTAGTTGATCTGATCCTTTTTCCAATAGTACGACTTGTTCGAGAATTCTTCTTGGGTTTTGCGGAGTGATAAACCGGTAGTTTGCTCGTTACCGATCATTTTGACCACATTGGACAAACCAAAACAAGGATAGATGGACCGAAATGATCGGTAAAGTTAAAATTACAGAGTACTCGCAGACAATGTTGTTACGAAGTTTTGGATGCATTTATTATTGAAAGCTTAATCAAGCATATCATTAAGCATAGTTTTTCTAACATACAACTTATGTTGTTTCCACTTGGGTTCTGTGGGGTGATAAACCTGTAGCTTGGCCATTTTCAATCATTACAACCTGCCTATCTTCGGTGTTTTGGCTCGTCTTTAAACGCTTAATAGTTATTAATTAGTTAGCACCATTTTTGGCCGAAAAAATATCAAAAACAATATCATACAGTTAATTTCAAAACTAACAAAACACAAAACCTATAAATATTTGTATTTATACATTAATATTTAAATATTCTAATTAATTATGTTTTTATCTAAGGTTTTTGGTTTAGATGAGAAATTAGCGTCAAGAATCAAGTGCGGGATTCGAACCCAAGACCTTCGGCTCAATACGCCGCTGTTCAAGGGATTAGAGCAGAGGCGTATTGAACCGAAGGGCGTGGGTTCGAATCCCGCTTAGATAAAAAGAATAATTAAATAATATATGGATAGAGTTGAAAATCACAGTACTACACATTGATCAATCGGAAAAAAACATCACTCCGGTGTTGGGTTTGCTTCAGCGTCTTGCCTCGCTTTACTTAGAACCCTGATGTCGCATCATCTGATTACTTTTCAGAGCAATGATAACTTTGAGAAATACATTAGAAAACCGATTTTTTTCCACTGTATTCTGACATATTTTTGGAAAAGAGCAAGAAGTGCGAAGAAATATATCCAGTAGAAGGTGAAGTTATTGCACTGTACTACAGCAGCCTTGAAACTTGTAGCCTTAGCGCGTCCGACTCGTATTTGCCATGCTAGCGGTCCTGGGTTCGAACCCCCTCACAGCCCATTTTAATAAATAATGGCTTGAAAAACGTTTTCTAAAGTGGTTTGACCTCTAGACCACAACACCCAAAAGGTAGTTGGACCTCCTGTATGACAGGAATTACCTTACTTTTGGAACCGCGGTGGACGATGGTTAGGGCGTCTGACGCGTATTTGCCACGCGAGGGATTCTGGGTTCGAATCCCGGCGTAACCCATGGTTTTTAATGGAAAACGGTACGAAAAATGTATTGTAAAGTAGTTTGACCCCCCTCGACCACAACATCTAAAGGTTAGGTTGGACATTTGCTTACCCGTACATGTAGGATGTGGAAAAAATATGAATTTATACAATGCTAGAAAATTTTAGATTAAAAAAAAATATTGTGTTTATAAATCCCAGGCCCTGAAGATGATCTCAATAAAGATCGAAACGTTGGCTCGATAAAGAAAATGTTTTTCTAAAACCTACGTCACACCAGACCGCATCTCACGATTTCCGAATAATCATTTATATTGATTATTTATTAATTATTTATTTACCAATTAATTCATTATTAGGTGAGGAGCCTGGTTCGTTCTGGGGGTGCTGGGTTGGCTGGCTTGGGTTTTCTACAAGGGTGCTCCACATGCAAAGACAAATGGTCTCCGGGAAACGGGAAGGATGTGGACTTTTCCTGGGTCATCTGTTGTCATGTAAGGCTTTTATCCACAACCTCCTGATGCTACCGACATTAGGTGTATACCCGAATGAAAAATGGGTATATCGGGTAGTGCCCTTTGGGGGTGGGCGCGAATCGTTGGGGGTAGCGAGAGGTTTCTCACCAACAAAATGACATTGTCAAAAAAAAAAAAAAAAAAAAAAGAGGTAAACCAGAATGATCCGACACGACCAAACAAGTTCATCACCCCATTGTCCTTAAGTGAAATCTCATGCTTACATGTTTCATACATTTATCATTATCGCATCCATGGTAGCATATGGTTAGTTCTGCGCCTTACCATTAGTTTTGTATTCACAATATAATTCAAATCTGCAGCACAATCTGACTTTATTAGTTTTTCTAATAGTATAACTTTTTGTCATTTCTTCTTGATGATTCGGAAGTGATAAACCTACAGCTTAATCGTTTTCCATTATTACAGCTAGCCGAAAGTTTTTGAAATAAATAAAGACATTAATGAGGTTTCCTTTGGTTCTGCATCATTTGCGTAAATTGTGAGTGTCTGTGATGACGTGACCCACCAGAACCACCGTTCGCTTCGGTTTCGGGTTTTCCGCGACCGTCCGATTTCCGGTGGCCCCCCTATCGTCCTATACAGTTTAGGGTCAAGAGCTAAAAACCACCGAATAGCGCCCAAGAGGGACGAGTACCACCTCCAGTTGCAGGAAGGCGGTAGACACCCCTTTCCGTACCCCCTCTAATCTTGAGTCTCCCCCCTCCGTAAAGGGGTGGACCGACGGGTCAACAGCCTGCACTTCTTCTCACTCTTCACTCAGCTGTGATCAAGGACACAAGTCGGCTCCGTAAATCGTACCCAAGTCAAAAAAATTTCGTGTGCTCCATCCACATTTTGGCTTACCGATACCAGGTAATTTTTTTTTTTAGAAATATTTTCTTAATATAACTTAGCCATAAAACCCAGGTTCTATGCCTCCTCAAAAATTACAATTTTCTTCTATACCAAATTTCATTTTTTTTAAAAATAATTGTTAAGTAGTTCACTAATTCACGTGACAATATGCCTACCATGAAGGCTTTTTTTAAAAATAAATTTTGGGAATAAAACTATAATATACTATACTATCATTTGATTTATTATTAGTACTATTCATATGCAGTCACAAATTTAAAAAAAAATCAATATTTCTTTTGAAGATTTACGAACAGGGGAAATAAAAAATATGTCTTAAATAATCAAATCAAACCTACTTTACAGATGAGGTCTCAAGAACAGTAAAACTATATCTTTTTTAATTCGAGCAAAATTTGACCAAAAATGTCAGAAACACCCTACAAATACGCTAAAATCCCCGTACAGCAGAAAAATATAAAAAATTGGTTTCGAAGATCATAAAAAAAAAGTTTGGTTTAATATTTTGAATTTTGTAGGTCACGCGTGTGTGTAAATTTTAAACGCGTTGTAAAACCTCACACGCGCACAAATGATTTTGCCTCGAACTGTATCATGAACAGTCGGATTCTTGCCGATTTGAGTCGTTGAACTTTGACAATCCATAGCACTTTTTTTTAACATGGAACGTCGTCCAAAAACTAACATTATCCAGTAATTAAGAAGCATTTTTGACCATGAATAATTTTTAACGATCAAACCTCATCATTTTGTTATTCTGCAATAAACTCGAACTTCTGACCTTAAAAATTTGCCTTATTTTTATACTTCAATGTGTAAAAAATGTGACATTTCATCGAAACCCGGTGAAAAACTTGGATGAAAATTGGTTTAAAAAACACCGGATTGGATTTATATGCAGAAACCACTGAAAATTAACTTTGTTGGCGCTTCCGGTTTACATTTTAACCGGAAGATGTTAGCAACAAGTGTTTGTGTTTATAACATACTATTTATAAATATATTGCATAAACCCTGCGCATAATTCGATTAAATTAAGGGAAAAAATGCGTAAAAATTAATCAGTTGATTACGCGACATTTTATGTTTTTCTAAATTGTCAGAAAGAATGTATACTAGTTTATGAAGGTTCTACCTTTGATCTTTATGAACTTAAAAAGGAAAAGCTTTTTGAGTAAAATGTATCACATTTCATTGTAAGTATCTCACCCAGTTTGACTCAAAGCTGGTGAAGTACGGAACGTCGCGAGAACAAACGGACCTATTTGCCAAAAATGTCACTTAGGTAACACAACTGTGTTCAGTTGAACAGTTGTCGCAATGATTAAATTGATTTGATTTCGTGTTAATTATAAATTAATTGTAAACCGTTAGGGTTTTTTAATATCTATCAACTAAATAAAATATGAAAAATCAGTCTAGATTGTGATAGGATGTCGTCTCTCTTTCGAAATTTTAAGTCTCGCTTGGTAAAGGAAGAAAGGAAATGCTCCTTTATCGGCTGTTAAATTGGTCTTCTGCCACCGGGACGGTCGGAAAATCGGCGTGAAAATTATGAACCGTCTCCTTCCGGGTCGTCCCCAAGGGCAAGGCTGCCAGGACGTTCTGGTCTTATCAATCGGCAGTTTTTCCGTGCCGGCGTCACAAGATAAGCAGAAGGGAGCAGGAGAGCCGGGTTAACTGTTCAGGTAACTGTATGCGGCATTTTTGGAACGAGCCCTCTCCCACCAACTTGCTCACCCTATTGGGTTTTCATACGTAGGTATGTAGGTCATCCCCTCTATCTCTTGAACCGACGCGGGCTTGACACCGCTTCCAGAAATCCAACCCCCGGCCAATTTGATAGTCGTGCCGACGGAGGTCGAAATTTCGCGATGTTAGTCCTCCTTACCATCAATTATAATTTTGGTTTTGAAAAATCCTCTCTTCTTAGCTATTAGGACACCTTATAGGCACCACCCAATAAGATTAGGTAAAAAGAGATAACTTGGTGGTTTATTGTTTTTGGTTTGCTTCTATCCTCGATGTTTTTGTCTATCAGGTTCGTCTCGGTCCTTCGCCACTTAAATGGCGTTCCTTTTGTTAGGCATATGGCAATATATAGGCAGGTGGTAAGATCTGACCAAAGATGGCAAATTGTATCTGACAGCCTAAACAGGCAGGTATGCCATAATTCAAATTGTGGCAACGAAAGAATGATCGTTTAAGATCAATCTGGTCCACCTGTCTTTGCTGTGACTATCAGCGTTCCACCGTTTAGCAATCTCCATCGTTAAATTTCATCAACATCTGTTTATCTGAAAACTTCAATCAAAGTAATACCTGTCTCAAACTGGCAAAGATAACATCATTTCAATTGTTAGATTACCACGTCGGGTCTGCAGAGTGATGAGCGTGAAGTTTAGTCATTTCCGATCATTCTTGTCCGCCGGTCCTCGCTCTCTTTGCCTGTCAGCCTGCCATCTTCAGTGCTTTGTGAGTTATTTTTTTGTTGTTTTTGACTGTAACTAGGATATCGTTTTTTATTGCCAAAACGCAGTTATAACTAATCAATAAGTGTTGTCCCACAGTCCAAAACAGCAACGATAGGCAGGGGAATTGACAGAAAACTTTGTTCTCTTGTATCGGTGTAATTTGTTCATTACCCATGATGTTGGTCTATCCTCACTGTTTTGGACTATCCACTGTGACCAAACTGATCGGTAATGAGCAAACTGCGGGTTCATACTCCGCAAAACCCAAGAAGAAATCACACTCAAGTCCTACTATTAGAAAAAGTAACAAAACAGCTAGTCAAGTTTTGCTGCTAGCATTGAATTATAAATACACACAATACAACACATAAATAACTCTAGGCTCCAAGCGATGGCACGGTAAATAAGATATAAAATATGTACGCTGAGATGTCCTCTTAAGGTCAGCGGGGTGATGAACCTGTATTTAATCGTTTTCCCATCACGAGTCTCGTTCGGCCTTTCACCATCATCAGTGACATACAGAACAATCACTGAAATACGTCTAACCAAAACAGTAAGGATAAGCAGGTCAAAATGATCGAAAACGACCAAACTACAAACTTTGTACTGTTAGGAAAAACCATCCAATTAACTAGTCAGGTCGTGTCATAGGTTTTGTATCATAAACTAATGCAAAATTACTGAAAGAATATTAAACTACCTATCCTAAACTACTTGGGCACCATGGCAAGTAAATCAAGATAACTATAAAACATGTAGTATAAATATATTTATATTTGAAGTCAGTTCATCATCCCTCAGTCATTTCCGATCATTCCGGTCCGCCTGATTCGTCGTGTCTGTCTGACAGTTTTCCATTCCACCAAAATCAGCGTAGGTTTTGTGTTAGTTTTTTAAAATTAATATGTAATTTTTTCTATTGTTTCGGTGAAAAAGTAGTTTATGACTAATTAATAACTATTAAGTGCCTGATAAAACAGCTTGGATAGGCTATAATGATCGAAAACGACCAAGATACAGGTTCATCACCCTGCAGAACCAAAATTACACAAAAGATGTATTATTAGGAAAAATATCAAAGCAGATAGGCTGGTTGTGCTGCCTGTTTTGAATTATAACTACCAAACTAGTGGAAAGATGCATAAATTATGCTAAGCTAATGCTAGCATAACACAGTAAATAAGATTATTCGAAGATCGTGAGATGCGGTCTGGCGTGACGTAGGTTTTAGAAAAACATTTTCTTTATCATGCCAACGTTTCGATCTTTATTGAGATCATCTTCAGGGCCTGGGATTTATAAACATTGTTTCAATTTTACAAATACATGTAGGATGTGGAATAAGATGGATTTGTAAAATTTAAACAATGTTTATAAATCCCAGGCCCTGAAGATGATCTCAATAAAAATCGAAACGTTGGCATGATAAAGAAAATGTTTTTCTAAAACCTACGGAACACCAGACAGCATCTCACGATCTGCGAATAACCATTGACTAACGGCCACTAAACACCACACTGTAAGTAAGGATAAATATATAAAATATGTATGAGTGAGATGTCATCTTAAGGTCAGGGCGTTATGTACCTGCAATTGGTCGTTTTTCGATTTCATTTCAACCTTTCGCCATCATCAGTAACGCGCGTTACACCAAGATAGCAAGGATGGGCAGGAAACGAAACTATTTGTTGCTCAGCCTGCGGAACCCAAGAACATCCATACAAATGTTGTACTATTAGGAAAATTATCAAATCAACTAGTTTGGTTCTGCTACTAGCTTTGAATAATAAACAAATTGTCATGGTAATTAAGAATACATCTGTGGAATATTTAGTGGTAGAACCTATGTCAAGCATTAGCCACTTTTACAAAAGTTATAACAATCGTGAAATTTCCTCTTTAGGTGGACTTGTTTGGTCATTTTTCGATCATTTTGGCCTGCCAATCATCTGTTTTTGGCTTGTCAAACGATTTTCGGCCTTTCACCATAATGAGTGACAAAGAGAACAATCACTGAAGGACTAATTAAGCCTAAATGATCGGAAACAATCAATTACAAATTACAACAAATTTGGTAATAAGAAATGAAAACCACCTGTGTTAACGTGTAATTTGTAAACATTTTCATTGCTTTATATTTTCAGACATTAGTTGTAGTTTTGTTATCTCGACTTTTAATGGATCCCTCCAAATCATTTAGATGATACTGTCATTTAGTTCATTTCATGTGAGAGATTAAAAACAGAAATTTCTGTCGAGACAATCACCCCAGGAAGATTTTTGTTTAAATTTTAATACAGTTTTTCTAACATTTAATTAATTGTATATTTTATGTCTGATGTCCTCGTTGGCTTTGTTCCCCGTTTTTTCTCCCTGTTTTGCTTGTTCATCACGGTAGAACAGGTGGACAGAATAAGGCGGTGCTTTGTACGTGTAGTGCCGTACCTGAGGAGAATCCAGGGTACAATTGATCCCCTGGTTAAACAGGGTTAAGCCCCGGGACCTTTGTCGATCAGATCACAACAGACATGACAAAGTTCAATGCCCATTTTGAAAGTGCTGATTTTCAAGTTATTGCACTTTCTTCGCCTTTACGACTTTACGTTAAGCCTCCTAGGCGTTCAATTGTCCTCGGGTGTGAGTCGAATCCTTTGTCGGTGTTTTGTACCTGGATAGAAAAGGTTCCTGATTGACAAGTATAAATCCCATTTTCTATTTCCTTCCTGAGATTTTTTTTTTAATTATGAGAATGTGAAATAACGGGCTCGCTTTGTTTTCAACTTCCTCAGTTACCTACTCACATGTCCTCCACATATAAAGTCCTATTGTCGTCTGATAAAGTTAAACTTTTTTACACGGCAAGAAGTAATGTGTAAAATGAAAAACGCACGTACCGCGGCGGCCGTAAAGGATCTGTAAAATTCTCAGGAGAAGAAGATGAGAAAAAATCCCCCGTCTATACTAGACCCAGGAATCTCAATTAAAAATAATTGTGCTGAAGTTTATGTTCCTGGCGTTTAAATAAAAAGAGAAAAACTAAATAAATAAATCTTGCCCAACCCTGAAACCAGGTTTCTAGAGAGATTCAGGCCCCACACTTCCCAACACTTCCCAATAGGGAATGCGAGCTACAAACTAGCACCCAGCAGACTTGTCTAATCGTCCAAAAAAATTATCCAGTTGAACTCACCTCACCAAAAAACACTTCAAAAAACGCTGGGCTGACAAAGGGACGTCCTAGCTTCCACAACACACCACTGTCATACACTTATTAAACCAATATACCTCAAAACTTCGGTTTTTTCTCGGAGCGGAAATTCTTGTTTGTTACACGTTTTATAGTCAGGTGATCTCTATCTATGTTTGTTATTCGTGTTTTTGCACTGCGCTATAACCAGTTAGTCCTCTTTTATAAAAAAAAAAAACAAAAAAAAACAGAAGATGCCTTATCGAAGGACTATTACTCCAATAAACCCTCATTTGTCTTTATATGCTCTGGTGAGCTGGATCACATGATAATTACTAAATCATAGATTATTATATGAAAAAACTCACCCCAGAGGTTGAAAGTTGTCCCATTACCTGGAAATTTATCACATTCATCAGTCAACATCATGAACGATCCAATTTTTCCTATCTTTACATTAGTATTATTTAAACATATGAAAAACTAATGGTTGATTGGTCATTTATTATCATAAAACTTTTTGGCGAGTTTATCAATTATTGTAGATTACAAACCTAGCCTGGAATCCTGGGAGACTGTTCCAAATTTTTTTCACGGATCGAGGCATGAAGGACCATTTAGTTTCATGAGCTGGTGAATCAACCTCAACAAATTGTTTCCTTTTTAAGAAAAAAAAAGAGAAAAAGAAAAGTTTAATCATTTCAATTCTACTGCTTTATGGTTATAACTATAGGACGGGAAAATTAACCTTTTTAAAGAATAGAAGAGGTTGTTGTACTTTCGAGTTCTTCTGGGTCATTTGGAGATGTCATTTTCCAATCGTTGGTCACCTCAGTAGGATCGTTTAGCCTGAGCGGTTCAGCAAGAAGAAAACAAATCCAAAAAGTCCCGGGAAGTTCATGGTGTGATGAACCATTGTACGTCGACCTTTTCTTGTCTGTCCTTTGAACTCTCTCGTGACTTATTGCGGTGGAAATGAGAAAAGCGAAGCTCGATAAACTTTTTACTAAAAGATAGGATAACAGGAATCAGGAGACAGGTTATCGTCTGAGAAGGTTAAAGCACTTAAGAACTTGAAGACTTTTTTGGTTCCTTTTTACAAAAAGCTTGAAAATTATTTAAAACAGAACCTATACTTTTTAGTATATATATTTTGTGAATAAATAGATAAATGTTGATCAGAGAGAAAGTTTTTAATTTATGAATTTGAACTGCACCAGGAACAAACACATTGGTTGCTTGAATTTTCAAAATTTCGTCCTAATTGGTTTCTGATGGACCGCCAGTGCGTAATTTCGTAAGTGACCATTAACATAATTGTTCGTGGTGTTTAAAGTCTTTTTAGAAAGGTCGGGCTTTCACTATTTCGGGTGTATGAAAAATTGTTGGAAAAAGAAAATCTTACGAATTGGTTTTAATCAGACGTGAAGAATGCTTAATATTGAGATTTAAAATTAAAACCCATTGCTGCCATTTTTACCTATTAGGAACATACAATTACAATAGTACAATAGCCAATTTCATAATCCTGGTTTTATTGTTAGATGAATTTTTCTTTTTGTTAAATGATATGAACTGTAGGCTATAAAATAGAAAAATAAAAGTTTTTATGTAAATAACTGTGACCAAACGAAACGATACAGCGAAGCTGGGCGTACCAGAGAGCATTTTTTTCAAACCGCTGTTCAATTCGTAAACAATCCTACTAGCCTTTTTTTTCCAAAACATCGTAGGAAGTTTATTGTTATTTGGTTGCATCTGCCCACCCCTGTTGAATTGGCCTGTTTCTCGTTATCATCAATGTGTGGTGTTTAGTGACCGTTAGTTGATGATTATTTGGAGGTCGTGAGATGGGCCAGTCTGGTATGACGTAGGTTTTAGAAAAACATTTTCTTTATCGTGCTAACGTTTCGATCTTTATTGAGATCATCTTCAGGGCCTGGGATTTATAAACATATTTTTTTTAATCTAAAATTTTCTAGCATTGTATAAATTCATTTTTTTTCACATCCTACATGTATTTGTAAAATTCAAACAATGTTTATAAATCCCAGGCCCTGAAGATGATCTCGAAAAGATCGAAACGTTGCACGATAAAGAAAATGTTTTTCTAAAACCTACGTCACACCAGACCACATCGCACGACCTCCAAATAATAGTTATCATCAATAACACACTGAAAGACCGCTGATGATGGCAAAAGGCCAAAATACACCTGTCAGACCAACCTCTGCTAGGATAGGTAGACCAAAATGATCGGTAACGACCAAACTACAGGTTCATCACTCAGCAGACCTCCACTTTTTTTGGATGTTATTTATGTTCTTTGCTTTATATCCGTACATGGTATGACTAGAGAGGATTTTTGAAGAGCTGTTGAAATAAAGGAATTTGGCATGTCATTAAACTTTTTTTTTAAATTAAGGAGTAATGTAACTTCGTAATTTGGCCATAATTTAAAGGTATGATAAAAACCCACCGGCTTAATCAGTAAATTAACCGTCCCAAATTGCTTGAAGAAGAGAAGAAAAGGTTGAAATGACAATCGCATTGTTTGTGGCCGGCAATTAGACCCGATGTCTCAGACACGATCCTGTTTTTTTCTGCCGCATCGTGATGACTTTTTGAACTGCCCAACATCCAGGGGGATCTGCTGTGTTTTGTTAATGATTTGTGAACTCTGCTTTGTATATTTGATTAAACCGCTTCGGCAGCTCGACCAGAACAAGAGATGACTAACATTTCTGAAGTCATGGTCTGCAAAGCTGGATGGTCGGGAGTAACGGTCCGGTTGGGCAGCCCTGCTCGGCTTCTGTAAAACCGATTCCTCAACAACTTTATCATGGAAAACCGCATCAGTTTTGATTTATTTTGACGAATGGAATGTTTACGGCGCGAATATTGTCGTCCTATTCGAGTCCAAGAGAAGGAATTGCGATGCCCCTCCTTCCAACTAAAATCCCTTTCACAATTCCAACAGGAATCGATGTTTATGTTGTCAGCCGGCTTTCACAAACTTTACAAGGCTTCTTCAATCAACGGGTGAAGGGGCTGGTAAACCGTTATGACCCGATAGAGCCGGTTGGATTTCGGTTTAACCACAATGGTAAATGAAGAGCATCATATGGGGTCTTTGCCTCGGAAACATCTTTCTCACTGGGTCGTTTTCCGCTCTGCCGGCGCCAGCCGACCGGCTATTGGCCTCAGTTCCTTTACGTAAGTCTACGGAAAAGATCCTCTGGCTGACAGTCGGCATGTTTAAAACGGGAAATTCTCTGTGTATGATGTGATCTCTGGCCTCATTTCAATGCATCAAGTTACAGAAAGCTTGCGCGATTTTTAATTCTATAGGACTAAATGTAAAGTTTTTTTTCTTTCAACATACAAAACGAGTGAAGACAACATGAAGCTAAAGCGACAGAGTTTACCTAATACCTAATGTCCATTAGTACTCTCCGGAAAGAAGTTGTTATGCCAGAATGCCAAGGGTTTTAACTAATTTACAGCTTTTTAGCTGGTACGATCTTTTTTGAAGTTCATTATCTTCGGACTTGGGCCGGGTTAAAAAATTTTATCTCGTAGATCCCCCCGGTACATTTAGCTGTACCACGCCTTGAAAGATAGACGCGTTTATGTCGAGAATTCCACTTAACCGATGCGGTTTCTTGGCCTGTCGAGAGGTTATCTGGGTTCGCTCTCGTAATCCGTTTTTTCCAAGCCGAACACGTTTTTTTTCGGGTTTTCGAACCCATATGTCACGATTGACGTGTAACCCCCCGGGGGCACTCACTATTCAGTCCGTTTCATTATGAAAAAATCCATGGGCGAACGGACAAAGCGTCCAACAGCGGGACGTCGATAATGATTTTCTTTAATTTTCAAGAGGCAAAAGAAAACTCTGAAATCACGTTTTGCAACGTTTTCCCCCTTTGACTCTTTTATGGTGTTGGAGTGCCATCTTCCTCGGTTAATTCAACCTAATAAAACTGTGCGAAACGGACCGGCATAAAACTCAGTTTCACATCATTTAGAATTTCTTATAATTGCATTCCTCTTGAACAAGGGGCCTTTGAGAAAATTGTTTAAGAAATACGGACGATCCCGTGATGATTCCCACGTTTTCAAAATTTGCATTTTTGCGAATTAATTACTTCTATTCTTATAAACCGTTATTCAGGTAGTTCAATAAGACTTTTGTTTTCTGTATAGTGCGTGAATTCCGGTTTATAACGTGCTTAGTAACAGTTAGGCCGTTTGTTGATTTATGTCCCTGATAATCCTGGTTCATTTATTCTTGCTATATGAATCGTAACCGAATTTTCAAAATTACTTAACAAAATTAAAAATTCAGAATCACTGACTGCAGAAAGAGGACACGTCCCAAAAACTAAATTTTACAGGAGAGGCAAAAACTGTTTTAATGAGGTATTTTCTGTTTATGAAATTGTGAATAAATTACAGAACCACAATTAGGCTATTCTACAAATTTATTTTGAGATTTTCCTCAAATTCACCAATGCTTGTGAGCAGGTAGCCACTTTTGTGGTGTGGACATGTCTCTGTTCTGCCCTCAACACTTTTTTGTTGTTGAGAAGGTATCGTTTTCTGCAAGGAATGAAGTTACCACCTCCAAAATATTTAATACAATTAAACATACATTCAAACACCATTAAGAAAACATGAGACCCAAAAGAACAATATTAACTTAATAGTTTGTTTTAAGGAGCTGTAGGTCAAGCGGAAAACGACCTCCAACAAATCTGAACTGCCTTTTGTGGGATGTACTTCTTGAGTCTCTTCAAATTCCTTCGTTTTTGCAGCATTGACTGGAAACTTTGACGTGTACAACTGTGCAGTTGGTAGCGCAATATTAGGAGTATTTTACTTCGTCAGGTGAAAATGGTAGGCTACTAGGCCATCAATGAACTCAGACGTTTTAATGCCTGGTGCTTGGGATGATACCTCAAAATAATGGCATGATGAAATCATGAATTTCATTTGACCTTTAGCAGTTAGTCTTCGTCTTTCCAAGGGCGTAGTTTGTTTAAAGACTCCTTTTTGCGCTCAAGGCAGATTTGAAGGCCCGTTGTTTTTCCATATCCAATCAAGTGAAATGTCTCATATTAGCACCAAACATAGTTCTATTTGTAGTATATAAGATAGCGGGAAAAAGTAGAAAAAAAATGGACATGTCCCTTTTCTGCAATAAGTGATTCATATGAGGTATACTCTAAATGAGTAAAAGAGAATATAAATCGTGCTTCGTTTGTCGGTCAATGAGTTTGAAAAGGAAACCAGCACAAGGGCTCGATCAAACTGCTAACAAGTAAGCATACTCTGGAAACTTTTCTCCTAAGACATTTGCAAGCAACATAAAAACATTTCTTTTTTTGGTGTGGGATTTGATGAGTTTTTTCAAACCAAGAACCATAAATCACGAACACTGGGAA